GAACTCCCCCTCACAGGGGAGAGAAGCCAGTGGGGGATTTCTGAAAGGCTCCTGCAAGATCGTCAGCCTTAACAGTCTGCCAAGCATGGGCACAGGGCCCAACGTGGGAGCCCCATTGCAGCAGGAACTGTCTTCTGCCTCTGCTGGTTTTTCTCCAACATCCTTTGACCCTCCACCTGGCCAGCAGTCAGGAAGAGAGGAAGGATCGGAAGAACCGATCAGCGTTCCCACCCAAAACTAGTTCCACCCTGGGGAGGGAGGGAAGACATTCCTTTTACTGAATTGAGACTCTGTGTGGGCCTTCAAGAGATTGCAGAAAGGCCTGAGTGATGCAGGTGCCAGTGAAGATCACCCTCACTGGATAAAATTTGAAGACACAGAGAGAGGAAACGTCAAACTGTGTTTTGATCAGGATCCAAATGTCAAGCTAGTTTATGTAGGTTTTCATATAGATTAATTTCAGAATAATTATGTAATTCCGCTCCACTGCGCTGTCTAAATTGCTTCAGGGAAACATGATTAGCTTGCTTAGTAGGCTGCAAATATCTTGGCAATGACACAGGTTTTAGAATCACCCCCATCTCCCCAATTCAGGCAATTAAGTCTTATTGGTCTTCATTTAGATGAAAAGGACAAGCTTCTGTAATTAACATATTGTTGTCAACTTGGAATGTCTGCCCAACTAAAAAATGCAATGTGTAATTTATTGTGACTGCTTTTCATTGAATGAGATAGAAAAGAAAGGAAATTAACCATAAATTTAGAGAGATGGCACATCGAGAAATTTTATGGAAACTGTCACATTAGCTGTAAGAGAAAAGGCCAGCTCCCAAGAGAATCCACAGGAGAAAATTTTTACTCTGTGAAGCTCCACCAAATGCCACGAGTGTAAGAAGCTCTGGGGTGAGCATCAGAGACACAAAGCACCTTATGGTGCTTCCAGTTCTCATAAGGGAGAAGGAAATTACTAAGCCAAGGCTCTGGAATCCTCAAGGCTGGCCAAGGCTACACCACTTCAGGCACTCAGCAGAGAGCTGATGGAAATGCATTAGTGCTGTTGTGCCCATGCACATGACTTGCCAGGTGGCTCAGAGGGAAGACTCCCCAGAGGTTTGCTGCTTTACCTTCAAGGCTGGGCTGATGCAATCCCTGCAGGTTTTAAGCCAGCTAGGGCTGCTATAACAAAATGCCATGGACTGGATAGCTTAAACAACAGATATTTATTTCTTACAGTTCTGGAAGCTGGGAAGTCTAAAACCAAGGTATGGGCAGATTGTGTTTCTGGCGAGGGCTCTCTTCCTGGCCAGCAGACAGCCTCCTTCTCAACATACCCTTACATGGCAGAAAGAGGAAGCTCTGGTTTGTCTTCCTCTTTTTATAAGGCATTAATTCTTTCTTGGGGGCTCCGCTTTCTTGACCTCATCTAAACTTAATTATCTCCCAAAGGCCACACCTCCTAATTCCACATTGAATTCCATATGAATTCGGCGGGGGAAACACAAACACATAGTAACTATCCAGGGTGCAGATAATAGACCCTCTGTGGGATGCTTTCTGAACTTCACCTTCACCAGCACCCAGTTAAGAATATAAATGATTAAGACTGGGATGTTTCCCTTCCCATACTCCAGTCTTTCAGGAGACAAAATGGGGAAAAGAAGAAAAGGCTTCGTGGCACCATCAACAAGGGTCCTCGAGTGTTATTTTTTGGGGTACGTGTGTCTGTATTTGTGTCTTGTTCCAAAAAGGAATTAAGGTGACTTCCAAAGATAAAAACATTAATCTGGAAGACAGATGAGGTAACAGGACAACAAGGGTAGGGACAGAAGATGGGGCCAAGTCTTAAAATAGAAGCAAATTAAATCTCTTTTGCTTAAGTAGGGAACAGTGCCACTTTTCCTGGGAAGCCAACGGCATTCTGTTCTATCTCTCTTTTAAATTAAAAGTTAAGGAGTGTTAGTCCCAATTGAGGGGCCTGCATTTCGATGAGTTTGTTTTATTTTGGTTTTTTGTTTGGTTCCCTGACCTAAAATCTCTATTTCAATAGGAAAAGCAGGCTCCATCACAGCCCGCTGACAGTTTTCTTGTCACTGCCTTCCTCTCGGGATCTTTGGTGGGGAACTTGGCAACTCTTAGGGGTAACAGAAGTCAAAAGTTAAGAAAGAATTGACAGTCTGTACTATATGACAACTCCATATTTTAAAGAAGAAAACTCTGGAAAGAACGCTCATTTTACCTCTGGCGTTTAGATGGCTCAGGATTTAATTATTTTCTAGAAGAGAGTAAGACTAGGTAGGCATCCTACAGTGAAGTCAAACTCTCCATAAATAAAACAGAATTATGTGGATAACGGACTCGACTGTTTGCTTTGGCTGTGTGGGCACAGCGGAGCAGAGCAGTGATTATGTCAATTTTGTGATATTTTTATTTAGCAGAACAAAGGCTATCTTTTATTTCAACCGCAAGACTTGATTGCCAAGACTATCTTTATTTAAATGCTCTGTATTCATAAGCAACACTTCTATAGTCTCACATAGAACAGTCCCTTTTAGTCCTTGGAGTTAAAAACAAAACAAAGCAAAACAAAAACCAGGGAAGTTATGCAAGTATTATATAAATAGTGTCTAATGAGTCCCCACTATCCACAGGGTCAAGCTGAGTTCCTTTTTTTTTGCCAATCAGTGTGAGCCTTGAACTCATGACCTCACCTTCGCAAGCGCCGCGACATCCGGCTGGAGCCACTTTGGACCCCATCAAGCTGAGTTTCTTAGCAAGGATGAAAGAATGTCTTCCCTTCTGACTCTTCTAACTTGGTACCCCACTTTTCCTCCAAGACATCTCTACGGGGACCTCTGGGCTCCAGATAAAAATCTTTGACTGCTGTCTCAGCTGCAGTTGCCCATACTTACCTTCTCAAGCATAAAGTCCGTGGCTTTTGGCTGAAAATGCCAGGGAATTAACGCCTCTCCTCCCCAGTTCCATGAGCATCTCTCAACCAACACTTGCTGTCAGTTGATGAATAATCATCTGCCCAGCTTCCTTGCTGCTCAGCCTCTCAGGGGGACTCACTTGGGATGGGTGGTGTTAAGGGCTAAATTGTGTCCCACCAAGTTCACATACTGATGACCTAACGCCCAGTAACTCAGAATGTGACTACATTTGGAGATAGGGCCTGTAAGGGAGTGATGAATTAAAATGCAGCCATTAGGGCATGCTCTAATCCAATCTGACTGGTGTCTTTATAAAAAGAGGAAATTTGGACACACAGAGTGACACCAGGGATACAGTCGGACAGACCAGGAAAGCCAAGGAAGGACACCTCAGGAGAAATCAAAGTACACCTCGAATGTGGACTTCCAGCCTCTGAAGTGTGAGAACATACATTTCTGTGGCTTAATTACCCTGCCTGTGATATTTTGTTATGGCAGCTCGTGCAGATGAGTAGAGGTGTCTCCCGTAAATATTTCCATTTCCACCAAGCTCCTGTGATCACTCTTCCCTCTCCATTCATCACAATTATTTTCTGTAGCATTCAGGGCTGGCGTGGTGGCTCACACTTGTAATCTCAGCACTTTGGGAGGCCAAGACGGGCGGATCACTTGAGCACAGGAGTTCAAGACCAGCCTGGCCAATGTGGTGAAAACTCATCTCTACTAAAAATACAAAAATTAACCGGGTATGGTGGCATGCACCTGTAGTCCCAGCTACTCGGAGGCTGAGGCAGGAGAATCAGCTGAACCCAGGAGGTGGAGGTTGCAGTGAGCTGAGATTATGCCACTGTACTTCAGCCTGGGTGACACAATGAGACTCTGTCTCAAAAAAAAAATATTTTCTGCAGCATTCATTTGAAAATAAAAATTATTTTACTTGGTTCTTCATGCTTTATTTTTTTCTCTCTAAGGTCTTCATTTGATCATGAACCAAAGCTTTATTGAACACCACAATGCGCTGGGTCCTATTTGAAGGCAAGTGGGTTGCTAGAGTCTCCACTTCAGCTACGAATCCACCACAGGACCAAACAAAGCCTTCAGCACCACAGGGCTAAGAAAAGCACTATGGGTCCTTTTCTAAGGCCAGGCGCGGTGGCTCACACCTGTAATCCCAGCACTTCGGGAGGCCAAAATGGGTGGATCACTTGATGTCAGGAGCTCGAGACCAGCCTGGTCAACATGGTGAAACCCGATCTCTATCAAAAATATAAAAAATTAGCTGGGTGTGGTGGTGTGCACCTGTGATCCCAGCTACTCGGGAGGCTGAGGCAGGAGAATCGCTTGAACCTGGGAGGCAGAGGTTGCAGTGAGCTGAGATTGTGCCACTGCACTCCAGCCTGGGAAACAGAGACTCCATTTCCAAAAAAAAAAAAAGTCACGGCTTTTCTGATTGTTAAAGTAATTGGAATTATTAAAGAATTTGGAAAATATACAGAAAAGCCTGATGATGAAAATAAAAATCACCCATAAAGGCCCCTCCCTGGGGAGGACTGCTGTTCAGATTTTGAAGAACTGTCTTCCAACCTGATTTTGAAAATATATGCCAGGAGCATTTTCCCTGTGTGAAACAGCTTTTAAAAATCATTGGTAATACTGTAATAACATTTTATGGTATGGATTTACTTTATCTGTCCATCTCACTATCTACCTATCTGTTTATCTATCATCTGCCTACCTGTCTATCTGTCTATGTATGCATGTATCTATCTATCATCTGTCTACCTGTCTATCTGTCTATATATGTATGTATCTATCTATCATCTGTCTACCTGTCTATTTATCTATCAATCATCTGCCTACCTGTCTATGTATCTATCATCTGCCTACCTGTCTATCTGTCTATGTATGTACGTATCTATCTATCATCTGTCTACCTGTCTGTCTATGTATCTATCATCTGCCTACCTGTCTGTCTATGTATCTATCTATCATCTGCCTACCTATCTGTCTATGTATGTATGTATCTATCTATCATCTGTGTACCTGTCTGTCTATATATGTATGTATCTATCTATCATCTGTCTACCTGTCTGTCTATTTATCTATCAATCATCTGCCTACCTGTCTATGTATCTATCATCTGCCTACCTGTCTATCTGTCTATGTATGTACGTATCTATCTATCATCTGCCTACCTGTTTGTCTATGTATCTATCATCTGCCTACCTGTCTATGTATCTATCTATCATCTGCCTACCTGTCTATCTGTCTATGTATGTATGTATCTATCTATCATCTGTGTACCTGTCTGTCTATGTATCTATCTATCATCTGCCTACCTGTCTGTCTATGTATCTATCTATCATCTGTGTACCTGTCTGTCTATGTATCTATCTATCATCTGCCTACCTGTCTATCTATGTATCTATCTATCATCTGCCTACCTGTCTAGCCATTTACCTGTTACTAGACATCTGGCTTTTTCCAATTATTATTATTTTGCTTTATTAAGTAGCCTGGCCCATTAACTCTCTGCCTATATCTTTGTTTAAAATTTCTAATAATTTCCTTATGGAAGATTCCAAGAAGGAGACTATGGGATCATGGGAGATGACCTCTGCAGTTCCTGAAAGACATTACTAAATCGCTGCCCTAGGGGGATTACACAAACCAGGTAAGAGTTTACCATAAATTAATATACACTAAGGGTTCTTCTGCTGCTTAGATTTGATAACCCCAAACTTAAAAGAAGAAAAATGTTATAAGATAGTCAGAAAACCTCTGCCTAATATTGGAATGTTGACCACAAAAAGCTCAACTTTTTGTTACTGCATCTTAATTATGATAAAAATCATTGTTTGTCCCAGTCGAGATGCAATATGAAAAACTGAGGTTTTTAAAGTCTAGAATTTTAAATCTAACATAGAATGTAGAAGCACTCTTAGAAAGCACCTGCCAATTTTATGGATGATGAATATGCAGCCCAGGGAAGTGGATTTCTCAAGATCATGCAGCTGCTAGTCAAAGAGCTGGTGAGTGACTGAGGAAAGTCCTACGCATGCTCACCTCCTTTCTCAGGAGTTTTGGAATGAATAATGAGCTAGAAGTAAAGCTCTGCTCTTGCTTATCTTGCAGCCTGGGAAAAATGGGTTGACTGTGCAAGGAAGGCGAGTGTGGCAAACACGTTGGTCTTCCTTGTTTGAATGTAGAGACTTAGAATGGTAAGAAAACTAAGTTCCATACCAGCACTGTCCAATAGAAGATAATGTGAACTATGTATACACTTTTAAATTTCCTTTTTTTTTTTTTTTTTTGCAACGATCTCTCTGTGTCGCCCAGGCTGGAGTGTAGTGGTGCAATCTCGGCTCACGGTAACCTCCTCCTCCCAGGTTCAAGCGATTCTCATACCTCAGCCTCCTGAGTAGCTGGAACTACGAACACGTGCCACCACACCCGGCTAATTTTTGTATTTTTTTGTGGAGAGAAGGTTTCGCCAAGTTGCCCAGGCTGGTCTCAAACTCCTGAAATCAACAATCTGCCTACCTTGACCTTCCAAAGTGCTGAGATTTTATAGGTGTCAGCCACTGTGCCCAGCCCAATTACAAATTTTCTAATAGTCACATTTTAAAAAGTAAAACTAATTTTAGTAATACATTCTGTTTACCCCAATATGTCCCAACCACTGCCATTCAACGTGAAATCAATATAAAAATTCTTATTGAGCAATTTTTTGGGTCATATTAAGTCTTTGAAATCCAGTGCCTATTTTGCACTTACAGCCCATTTCAGTTTGGACTGGTCACATTTCGAACGCTCAATAGTCACGTATGGCAAATGGCCTCTGGGTTGGACAGCACAAATCCAAACAGCAGAATTCAATGTCAAGTGAAACCATGCTTGAGGGTTTTGTTATCAAAGTGGAAGAATAAAAATGATGATATAGTCATTTTAATATCTTTTAAGTGTCTACCAGGCAATGTGTCTAAGTTATAATTAAGAAGGGAGAAAGAGAGGGGAAAGAGAGAGAGAGAATTAAATTAGCTTCAGCTGGGTAATTCTGCACACTGGGCTGACAGCTTGAATGCATGTCCCCGAGCACCAACAGTTCATCTACTGTGACCTTGTGGCAACCACCTGAAGGCCACTCAGCCCTCCACTGCCATTGATCACACCCAGAGAGGCCTTGCCAGGTAGAAGAGCTGCAGGCGAGGTTCTAGAACAGGATGCCGTAATTGGCATAGGGATTTTCTTATCAGGGACTCACAGTTGTAGAAAGAAAGTCTCCTTGTTCAGGGAGGGTTGCTTTTGTTTGCTTTTTCTTTTCTCTTCTAGCTGAAGGGAGTTCCTGGGAAAGATGAATGCCATTGGCAGCGGAAATTCTTGCCTATAAGAAAAAAAAACCTGCCTCATCCACACGCCTGCCCCACCCAAATAGCTATTCCAGCTTCAAAGGACTCAGCCACTGGCCCAGCCCCCCGACTCCAAGCTGCCCCAGGGCCAGTCCAGGGAGTGCTGGGCCAGGCTTTGCAGAGGCCAGTTCCCTTCATTTCCTCTCCTGCAGGCAGGGGCTGCATTTGCAGCAGCTGTGCCCAGAGCCGCCCTTGCTGGTTTAGATCAGCACTGACAAGGAAGGCCAGGAAAACCCTGATGCTCTCAGATTCGGCAAGTAGGGAGGCCTTGCAGCGGGGACCGAGGAAGCTGAGAGAGGCCTGGCAACCACCATGCCAGAGATGGGGATAAGCAGAAGCAGAGGTTCTGGCGCAAGTCATGCAGCTTGATAAAAGGCGGGGCTTGGGACTGGAGTCTCGGACCGGCAGCAACATCTCCATCCGTACTGACCACATGCGGAATGCTGAATAGTCACACGTGGCAAAGGGCCTCTACATTGGACAGCACAGATCTATACAGTAGGGTTCAGTCTCAGGGTGGACCCATGCCTGAGGGCTTTGTTACCAAAATAGGAGAATAAAAATGATGAGATAGCCATCCTCTCATGACCTGTCTTCTTTTTCATTCATGCAGTGCCTCCGTGTAGAAGTAGAGCCTTTTCTGTAACTTGCTGCTGAATTATCACCGTATATTTGTGGGTGTTTGGGCCGAGAAGAAAGACTGTGTTTGGGAGGCCACACCCAAGGCCGTCACCCAAGCCCGTGTGTGCTGGTGCTCACAGTCGCCAAAAACATCTGCGAATCCCAGATTTGCCGCTTCATCATCCCATGAATATTTTTTGTGTCCCTACTGTGTGCCAGATACTGTTCCAGCTCTTGGGGGATCCAGCAGTGAACACAATAGGCAGTAACCCCTGCCTTTGCCTTCCCCCATAGTGGGGGAAACTGATAATAAATAAAATAAATAAATTACATAGCAGGTTAGAAGGTGACAAGCAGGAGGGGGTTGAGATGTATGGAAGGGGAATGGCTGCCCTTTAAAATAGGGTGGTTAGGGAAGGTCTCACTGAGAAGGCGATATTTGAGCATAATCTTCCTAGATATAAAATGTTTAGGCAAATTCCTTAACCCTCTGATTTTTGTAAAATAACAATAGCAATACTACTTTTAAGAGGTAAGTCTATTTATTTTTAAATTTTTTTTGAGACGGGGTTTCACTCTTGTTGCCCAGGCTGGAATGCAATGGTGCAATCTCAGCTCACTGCAACCTCTGCTTCCTGGGTTCAAACGATTCTCCTCCCTCAGTCTCCCAAGTAGCTGGGATTACAGGCATGCGCCAACATGCCCGGCTAATTTTTTTAATTAGCGGAGACGGGGTTTCACCATGTTGGTCAGGCTGGTCACGAACTCCTGTCCTCAGGTGCTCCACCCACCTCAGCCTCCCAAAGTGCTGGGACTATAGGCATGAGCCACCGCACCCAGCCAGCGGGTCTGTTTAGAGTGTTTACCCTGCACCGTTCTAAATTCATTATATTCATTAACTCATTTAATCCTTTTGTCTCATTAGACAGGTGCTTTTTATATTAACCCCATTTTACAGAATAGATAATGGAGGCAGAGAAAAGTGAAATAAGTGTCTGAGGCCACACAGTTAATGACCCAGGCAGGCAGGTTGACTCCAGAGCCCACCTCTTTCCCTGGCATCCCCTAGAGCGGTAGTCTTGGACAGAAGGTCCCAGACCCTTCCCAGTTCAAAGAGGAAACGTGCATCTGAACATCTAGAGGACACATTTACAGGCTGAGCTCAGCTCATGACGAGGTTGATCCTGGTGCTGCCACGTTTCTCTCTCCAGCATTGAGTGGCTAATACTATCCAAACATTCACTGTTTACAAGCATCACACTGGACACTGAAGAGGATACAGAGAGTGTGGCTGTGGGGGTGCTAAGAAACTGATCTTTGCTTTTGGAGAGAAACCCACTAAAAATGGAGGCAGAACGAGACATACCAGGAGGCCGCATGGCTGATTTCCAAGGTCAGAAGGGAGCAGGCCCTGGGTGGTGGGTGTCTTGGTAATACTTGCTCAAAGGCTTAAGTGGGGACCTTGCCTGCCAGTAGGATATGACTTCAAAGGGAGTCGAGGAGAGGGTGTTGGTAGGACAGGTATGGCACAAACACAGGGGTGGAGTGAGTGGGGACAGTGTAAGACACGTTAGAATGGTGAGCTTGTTCATCAAAACTCACCTATTCTGCAACCTGTTTCCCAGAGGTGTTGAGATTATCAGGAGCTGCTATCAGATCCTGATAACCTGTTCTGATAGGGGGTTAATAGCTGGGTATAATAAAAACCAGCAGCAAATCTGAAAGGAATTTCCAGGTGGCTCTGGAATGCAGCTGAGTTGACCTCCTGATCACATTCTTTCCCTGGGTGCGTGTCACCTTGGGCAGGGTGGATAACCACAGTGGGCGGTAATAAAAGTCCACTTACAGGGTAGTGAAGGAAGAGCTTGGAGGACTGAGGCGCGGGGTGGGTTCTGTCTGCCTCTGTTATTTACACTGTGTATGGCCTGAGCACAGTGGCTCTTTATCTCAGTTTCCCCATTCTTTAAATGGAGGATATATGCCTGCCCCCCAGTGGTTTTTGGGTCCGGTGCACTAACTCTGCCAGGCCTCCTAGGAGAGTCTTACTGCTTCTGCGTGTCTGCCCCCAGGTTCTGAGTGCTTCCTGTCCAAAGGTTCCCACTTGAGACCTTCTTTGGAGGCTGGCCTTTTTGGGCTACTGGAGCTTCTTCTCCCACAAGTAGAGATCCGGAACATTCTGGAAATTTATAAGCCCATCCTGGCCCCAGTGGCCTGTAGCTAATGACAGCTCCCTTCCTCACCAGGGGATAAAACCCTAAGCTATAATTTATATTCTTGAGTCCCCTTTGGGTCTGCTGAGGCTGGGACTGCACCTGAACTCACCCGTGCTGGGCCTCTTCCTATTTCCCTGCCCTGTTTCCCCCATTCCCTTGCTGGTTTCTCATGGGAGTACTTTCACTGTAAGTCACTTGCATATGAATCTTCTTCCTAGGCTGTTTCTGGGGAACCCAACCTAAGAAAAGCGTTTTGAAAACTTGCAAGTAAAACATCGCAGTAAAACTTCTAAGGACCTGAGGAAATGTGTTCTCTTTCTGGATCCACAAGGAGGCGTAGTTTTAAGGGCAAGAACTTCCCAGCACCACGCCCCCTCTCCCATTGCTCTCCATCTGGGAGATTTAACTATTTATGTTTAAATTTCGCAGAGCAGGAAGAAACTAAGAGTCAATCACCCCAGCTGAAGTTTAAAGGAACTCCTTTCATTGAATCGAGGAACTTGGGGAGGTGGGAATTTCTCCCAGGATAAATTCCCCAGCTCCTTCACGCACACCAGATTTCCGGCTCTCTGGAATCCCTTCCCACATAGTGGGAGCTCTCTTTCCCCTCCCTGATTTCCACTCTGGGGTCCCCTTCCACCCCGTGTGGAAGCTGTCTTTCCTCTCCTGGATTCCATCTTTCTGGACTCTCTCACTCAGTGTGAGGGGAGTTTTCCTTCTCTGGTTTTCTCCCTCTGGGAACCCTTCTCACTCAGTGTGAGAGGGGCTTTTCTATTTCTCATTCTGTGTGAGAGCTAGATGTTTCTTTCTCTCTCCTTCTCCTTTTTCTCTCTCTGCCTAAATAAATCACTTTTCTGCAACACTTTTGGGGTCTGGTATTTATTTCACGAGCACACTGCGCTGTGGTCTCCTCTCTCATTCTTGAGAGAGTGGTAGACTAAGAACCTGGAGAAACATCCTCTTAGGGAAGCTGAGGGCTCCCCTGAACCACAACAGACCTACCATTGGAGTAATTGCACTGACTGTACAAATCTCACATCTCTGAATTACTAGGTTGAGGATGGAACAGCAGGTCAAAAGGTGCCCTGAAGCCAGTTGTTCCTTCACATCCTCAGCACACTCAGCCTCCGTGACCACCACACCCCAACTTTGTGCGTACCGCCTGTGTCCACGTCAACTGGGAGCTCTGATGCATCTTCCGGGGCCTCCACGGAGCTTGATCTGCTCAGCCTGCACCGCTTTCCATCCAGGGGTCGCCAGCTTATTCCCACTGCGCTCCCCATGTGACCTTTCTCAGGGCTCTGGGAGGGAGCAGAGTCGCGAGTGCAGGACACTGGCCCATGCTGGATTCATCTGAGGGCTGTGTGATGACAAATCATGAACCCAGATTTCTGATCAACAAAACTTAAATAGAAACAAAGGCTCTTCATTATACCACCAGATTTGGGACTTTTAACAAGAAATACACACACGCGTTAGCAACAGGCCCTGAAAATTCAGTCTTGTTTTGGTCTCTACTGTGGCTGATGAATTTCCGCATTTCCCTGACACCTATGTGAGCCTGGGGACAGGGTGAAGCCACCAGCATGTTCAGATTTTCAGTGTTCTTATTCCTCATTTAGTGGGAATGTTTCAAAACTAGGTCACTTTAAAGACATTAGTAGATAAACTTATATCATGAAACCCAGCAGTCTTTCTTTTCTTTCTTTTTATATTTCTTTGTTTCTTTTTTGTTTGTTTTTTTGAAGTGGAGTTTTGCTCTTGTTGCCCAGGCTGGAGTGCAGTGGCGCAATCTCGGCTCACTGCAACCTCTGCCTCCTGGGTTCAAGTGATTTTCTCGCCTCAGACTCCTGAGTAACTGGGATTACAGGCACCCACCCCCATGCCCAGCTAATTTTTGTATTTTTAGTAGAAATGGGGTTTTGCCATGTTGGCCAGGCTGGTTTGAACTCCTGACCTCAGGTGATCCCCTCCCAGGAGCTCTCTATTCCCACCCTCAGCCTCCCTAAGTGCTGGGATTATAGGTGTCAACCACCACACCCAACCCAGCCTTGCTTTTCTAATGGCCGAATTCTTCACATCCTGTTCCATTGATTCTCATGCCTGTGTTTGCATGTGTGTGTATATACAGCACTCCTATGAATCACGTGTGCTCAGCCTGGCCCCTTGATTTCAGTAAGACAGGGTAGCCTTACTCTGAAATTGGGCCCACCCAAGGGCTGTGGAGTGATGAAAGGTGGGGAGGAGGGTTGGTGGGTGTGACGGTTAATACTGAGTGTCGATTTGATTGGATTGAAGGATACAAAGTATTGATCCCGGGTGTGTCTGTGAGGGTATTGCCAAAGGAGATTAACATTTGAGTCACTGGGCTGGGAAAGGCAGACTCACCCTTCATCTGGGTGGGTTCAATCTAATCCACTGCCAGTGCAGCTAGAATATAAGCAGGCAGAAAAATGTGAAAAGAGAGACAGTCCTAGCCTCCCAGCCTACATCTTTCTCTCATGCTGGATGTTTCCTGCCCTCCAACGTTGGATTCCAAGTTCTTCAGTTTTGGGACTTGGACTGGCTCTCCTTGCTCATCAACCTGCAGGCATCCTACTGTGGGACCTTGTGATCGTGTGAGTTCATACTTGATAAACTCCCCTTTATGTGTGTGTATATATGCATTCCACTAGTTCTGTGCCTCTAGAGAACCCTGACTAATACAGTGGGAGTGGACATGGGAGGGAGACCTAGCTGAGAC